TAGTCTCCCTTTATTTATTTATCAGCGCAAATGCAACATATGTGTGTGTGTGTGTGTGTGTGTGTGTGTGTGTGTTGCATTTGTGCTGTATACCATACCATATATATACCATTACCCCATCCAGCTCCACCCACAACTCCACCCGGATGACACCCACCCACCGTCACCAATCACCATGACCCACACCCTCAGCCACACCTCCACTCAGTGTCATCTTTCCTGGTTAGCCGCATCCCAGCAAAAGAGTTACATCAGAATAGGCGGTTGCACCCGAGTAGAAGAGCCACATGCAGCTATAGGCTCAATCGACATCAGAGAGGCAACATCAACGTGGCAGTGTTAGTGGCATGTAAGCATGGCCAAGCAGGCATGGTGATGGACAGGTTCCCCCTGGATGGCAGCCTGGGGGCTGACAGGTAGTATTTAGAAATAATCTGAAAAATTATTTCACATTTTGTACATATGGACATATGCCAAACAGAAATGAACTGGGTGATATTCTTAAAAAGCATCAACTGCATTTAATCAGATGACACATTTTACACTAGCAGTGAAATGTAGCAAAATATGGGCAAAAATCCCCATTAGAGTCCTATACTTTTAGTAGAAATATTTCCCTATTGCAAATATGGAAACTGAACTGAAAGAGAGGGATGTATCAAAGGTGGCCAACTGAATTCATAGTAGAAATGAAGCTGGAATCAACAACTTTCTACTTTGCAGCACAATTTCTTATATTACACTAATTTAGGTTTAGGTAGTACCAGTCATAAATGTTGCATATATAGTATGAATGTATTAAGTAAGACCACCATTCAAAACCAAGTCTGAGTTAAGCAGGATTTTGGGTATGTTTCCACTAGTACAGAAAGTTTAGGGCCAGGATGAAAATCGGAACATATATCAAACTTATAATTTCCGCCATAAACTATTCGTTCTCGTGCATTGTTCTCCTGCAAGTCTGTGGAACATACTCTCTTGGAAACTATATTGGGTGCTCATTGTATCAGTATTTATATCAGTTTTTCTCAAACTCAGAAACTTTAAGCTGTGTGTGTGGACTTCCATCTTCCAGAGTTCCCCAGTCAACATGCTGAAATCCACTCATCTAAACGTTGTAGTAGCTGAGAAGCATTGGTTTTAGGTCATCTGTAAAAATATATCTGTTTCACCAAGATTTTAATAGTTAACTGGATTTATCACTTATTTAGTATGTTTGCATTGTGATTTAAAATGTCATTAGTCAACCTGAGTGCCTGGATGAGCAGAATGTGGGAAGCAATTATTTAGCTTTTAACTAAAAATACGTTAAATGGCAACTGGCAAGAGAAAACTGGAAGCGACACAAAAAGGGATGACAAGAAGGCTGTGGGCTGTATACTTCTCTGAAAAGGGAAAACACTGTGTAACTCTCCACTTTTTCTTACATGACATTTTAACAGTTTAGGACTGTTTGACTAGCTGCATTTGACAAGTGATAGTTGCTATGCGCCCCTCCACAAGTGCAGAGAATTCAGATATTGGTGTGATTTCTTTTACTGCATATTCTCTGAAGCTTCTTGTTTACTTGTCTTTATGTTTGTTTGATTTATAACTTGCATTCTTTCAGGAGTTTGAGGCAGTGAACACAATGCTCCCTCTCCCATTATTCCCTGCAACAACAACCCTGTGAGGTTGGTTGGACTGAGAGAGAGAGAGAGAGAGAGTGACTCAAAATTACCCAGTGAGCTTCTTTGGCTGCGGGTGGAATTGAACCTGATTCTTCCTGGGTCCTTAATACTATGTTGCTTCTCTTTTTCTTCTAGAATCTTTCTCTCTGTCATGAGGGAAACTTGTCTGAATAGAAAAAGCCCATTCCTGTTATCCTTACCATAATTGACTTCCGCTCTGAGATACATGGTAGGGACTTTCAAGGTGATGCCATCTGGACTGGTAAAGGACAAAGCTTGAGTGTGTGTGAAAGTGAATTTCCTTTGCCACGTGCTTCTGAAGTTCATGGTGCTTACCACCGCTATCTGGTTAAGGGGAGACTCAGTCATGTCCAAGGACAGGCAGTTTGCTTCTGCAATGGGAAGAGAACAAAAGAGTGAAATCTACTAACAGAGATGAATGTAACACATTTACTATTTTCTGTTTGAAATGTTAACTCGGAAACAATAACAACTGTGTGTGCTTTTAGGACTTAACAAAGAAGAATTTGATGACAAATTAATGGCCTCTTAATTGCAATCGGGGGGGAGGTGGAACCCTTACTATTCAGATGCACCAGATTGCTGGTACTTTAAGTGCAAACTGCCTTTGGAAAATCAAGCCCAAGGGTCAGCAACCTGCGGCTCTGGAGCCGCATGTGGCTCTTTCATCCCTCTGCTGCAGCTCCCTGTCACTGGTCGGCTCCACAATTGAAAGCCACAAGGGCTTTCAGTGAGGACAGGTAGAGGAAAAAGAATACCGCACTAGGAGAAGACTCTATGATGGGGGAATCGGTCATCCAGTCATCCCCAGAATTGAACTGGAGGCTTCCTGTTACGACCCTTGTGGCTCTTCGAGTGTTTAAGGTTGCCGACCACGGATCTAGCTGAACCAAGCAAAACCACGAACATGTCAAATAGCAGAAAAAGAATCTAATCTTTATCTTGATGTTTCTGGAGAGCTGTCAAACCCCTGATTCTTCTATATTCAATTCTCCAAACAGAAGGTTAGGCAAACAATTAGGTTTATATAGGATGCTCCATCTCATAATTTTCTCCAGGTGTTTTAGCTGAAAATAGCAGGGGCCAAATTTGGAGCGCTGTGTATATACTCCATCACTGATTTAGTTTTTGGAAGCAATCTCTCTCATCAGGTCCAGGACATAAGTGATATTGGCCCTGGGGAAATGTACAACAAATAAGGGACAATTTTCTTGTTGTTCTTCGAATATAAATGCAGTACTATACTGGAAATTAGGGCTAATCAGTGTCATTTGAGTTTATTGGTCTTGTATGCCACCCACTCCCGAAGGACTCCTACACATTTGTATTCTTGTATGCCTGAGTGAGGCTGAAACAACTTTATGATAATCTACCTTCTGTGCCATGTACTTTAAGCTGTACTGTTTGCATCGAAACCTTGTTTGTCTCTTATTTGGATGTCAAACACTGCCTTGCCTATGAACTTTGGTTACCAGGAGAATTATATGAACCCAGGCAGAAGATTACATCTTTGCTTGCAAGATTTATGGCTCTCAAATTTTCAGTTTCTTGGTTCAGCTGGAGACAGCCAGGGCATACCAATAAAATATTTCAACACCTTTCTGTCCTAAGGTTCCTAATCGTGCCAGTCTTTGCTAACCTCAGCAGGTTGCAGCCCAAAGAGGCCATGGGAGAAAGTGGGCGAGCAAACTCAAATGTTGCTTGCCTACACATTTGCTACACTGTGCTTGAGGGTCTCAAAAAAGCTGGTGCAAACTATGGGCATTGCAAAGGGGCAAAAAAAGAACAACGGGGTTCCCAAATGCTTACCTCCTGTATTCTGGGTAATCCATTCCCTAATTTGTGCTTCGGTCCTGTTAGGATCGCTGAAGTTGGTTTGCTGCACTGTGTTATTTCCCCACCATGCAGCCTGCTGAATGAATTGAGGTGAAAGCTGCATCCCAGCTTGAACGAAGAGAGTACATGCCAATTGCACTATAGTACTTTGGTTGGAATTAATTCCTCCTCTGTAGGCTGCGTGCAAGAAGTTCTGGATGTTCTCATCTAAGAACAAGAAATGTCCTCGTATTATGATGATAGTCAAGGGGGAGAAATCATAACGATACAAAGTCACACCACTCAAATGTGAATTGCCCTCTCCATGATCTTTGGAAGGTCATACTGTAGGAGGGGGATAATAGCAGCTTATACAGTTTTCCTCTTCTCCCTGTAGCTTCTGACATCCTTGCTTTTTTGCTCCAATCCTAGGATTGTAGCAATCCTACCAATGAAGGCGTTGAACTGGAACCAAGAGTAGATGCTAGAAACATTCGCTGCACAACTCTAGCCAAGTTCTATTTTGCTAGAATTTAGATGACTCTGTTAGAGAGCCAAAAAAATACTGCTGGTCTTGTCTTCTGCCCCCAGTTCATTAACAATGACTACATTGGATATCTGCTCCTTCAACAATCTCCCTTGGGTTGCTCTCTCTAAAATGTGCTCCCAAAATTTGCCCCAGAACAAGTGGGGAAGAGGTGGGGAGCCTAAGTGAAGATGAAGAAGAGAGAATTGAATCTATCCCCCTACTATTCTTCATCCCTTTGCACTTGGACACACCTTGATTGATCAGTTTTCAACCACTCCATCTCTGAATATTTGTCTCAGTCTTTGAAGCTTCTATGACTAAGAAGTTGTAAAGAATAAGGAGATGCAGATTTTCTTGTTATTTTCTATATTTGCTTTGAGGAGGAAATATTTAAGGGGGAAATGCTTGTATCTGCTATGAGAAAACTAGCATTTATTGTAAGTCACATTGAATTGACTTTGTAACTAAATTCATATCGGAAATCATAAGCTTTTGGAAGCACTCTCAAAACTGCTAATTAACCATCAACCTTGTCATTTCTTTCCCCTTTAACAATAGATTGAGTTAAACCATTAGAACAACAGTTAAGGTCTCGGTGTTTTTGTGGATTAAAGCAAACATTTGTGCTGTCTGCATTTCAAAAGGAGCGTGACCCGACAAAAGGGCGAACGACAAAACCGCGCCCAACTAAACCGTGTCGCTGACGTCATCAATGCGGCGACAACAGCCAGCGCAGAGAAAGAAGGGCGCTTTAAATAGCGCGGAGAAAGAAAGCCGATTTAACTTAAGGTAAGGGTTAGGTTTAGGATTAGGTTAAGGGTTAGGTTAAGGGTTAGGGTTAGGTTAAGGGTTAGGG